TTTAGGATGTAGGACTCTGATGTTTCTGTTGTTCTTGGGGGTCTTGGCTTTTGCGGTCCCTAGATAGAGCCCTTATCCCCAGACATGTGGCCCTGCCTGCTCTGAAACTCTCAGAAAACAATCAATGTATTTCTTAATAAGCTACATAGAAATATACCATGTGACCCAGCAACCCCATTCCTTGGTAACTGCACAAAAAAAAGGGGGGGAGGGATAAATATCTACATAGACTTGGACACCTGTTCTTAGCAGCATTGATCACCAATACAAAAATGGCAAAGATCCTCATGTTCAGCCCTCGGTGATCAGAAAACCACTGCGGTACATCCAACAGGGGAGTGCTGTATGTCTGGAACAAGGGAACAAGAGCTCACATACGCTGCAACCTGGCCAAACTCAAACTTCTCTACTGAATGAAAGAAGGCGGTCACAAGAGATCACACACTGCATGATCTCAGAGGAAGGAAACATCCAGAAAAGGCAGAAGTAGACTCATGGTAGCAAAGGACTGGGAGTGGGACCTGGGTAGTAAGAGGCGATCAACTAGTTCTGAAACTACACTGTGAAGATGGGCACACAGCTCTCGGGCTTTTGTGGGAAACCCCTGAACAGTTAAAAAATGGGCAGACCTTATGATATGCAAATGAACCGCCAAGTTACTTTTCCAAAACAGGATTTTCACTATCCCAGCTTCAGAGAGCTGCTGTGAGGATTAGGCAAGATGGCGCATGCAAAACAGCAGGCCTGGTACATGGTACCTAATAAATAGTCATGAAGGTGAGAGTCAGAATATATAATAAGCAGAGCTTACGCAAATGGAGAATAATAGATACTGCAGAAATGACAGCTCCTGCCACTTCCCCACTTCTTACCATACCTCTTCAGCATTTACCAACTCAAGTCAGCCCCTCGACATTACGTGGTAGGTGTATTAACATGCTCAAGCAAGGAAACTGAGGTCTAGGAAAGTTAGGTGACTGTCCCCAAAATGCACAGGTAGTCAGTGGTAGAGCTGAGATCTCAGGAGGATGAACTGCAGTCCCCTGGCTCTCTGTTGTCTCGCAGAAAACAGAGAGGTGTAGGGTTTCTGTGCTAGTGATGGCGAGGGTGCCCAGAGGCCTAAAGCTAGCTCTCCTTGGGAACCTGAAGAGTTAGAGAGGTTAGTTCAAGAAAGTATGTCGGCTGAGGGAACCACGCACCCACAGGTGCCAAGAAAGAAATAACAGGACATAAGGAGAGCCTGGTGGGGGGATCAAAGGGCACTGAGGAGTGGGGGTCAGGGGGCTAGAGCAGGCCCTAGGTCAAGGGCATCAGCCAGAGAAGGACTGGCTTTCTCTGGGGAACAACTCTCACACACCCCCGCTGCAGGTGGGGAGGTTGACTCAGGATGCTACGAGCTCAAGGGAGTGGGGAGCTGCCACCTCATGCTCCCACGGCACTGTGAGCTAACACCCCAGCAGCCTCCCAAACACCAGCTCAGCCAGCAAGCAAAAGCCATTCTCAGCCAGCCAGGCACAGAGGGCTCTGTGGGGCTGCCAGGAAGCTGAGCAGAGCTCAGCATGTTCAAGGGCTGACTGATGACAGCCTCAAACGCGTGCGCCCGTGGATCCCAGGGTCCCCTTCACACGACCCTTACAGCTTTCCACATCACATCAACATCAATCCAAAGGCCTTTTCTCATCCAAATGTAATGACTTCCATCCAGCTCTCAAACATGTTTCCACAGTTGTCCAAGATAAACACTTAGACACATGCCCAAGAGTTCACTGTGCACAAACAAAAACTACCGGGGAAATCGTGTAGATTCTGGTGACACCAGCTACAAAACATCACACAGTGAACCACGTGAATCCACTGGGTCGCATACGTTCTGGCACACATAACTCCAAGACTTCATACTGGGGTGGGGGGAGTGAAAACTAGAGTCACGTGTCTGGGGTTCCTTGATGCCTTTACTTGCATTAAAGCTTAAGGAAATATGAAGGTCTACGTGCCTTCCAGTCCACAGAGAAAGGAGAAACATTACTAGAAGGAAACACATCAGACCAACAAGCAGAGGTTAGAGGGGAGAAAGGATTTCAGTCTTTTTATTAGAATAACTATTTAAATCACTGGGGTTCAGGGTAACTTTCAAAGGTCTGGGATGTTTTGCTGTTCTGTAGCTGGGACCTTGAACTCAGTATGTAGCTGAGGATGACTGAGACTATCTGACCTTCCTGCCTCTGGCACTGGGATCACAGGTGTGGGTCACTATGCCCAGTTTACATGGCACTGTGGATCAAACACAGGACCTCACACATGTTAGGCAAGTCCTCTACCAGCTGAACTACATAAATCTAGAACCATTTCTAGTTCCTGCCACACTGTTGAAGCCAAGCCCTCAGTGCTCCATGACACAGATTTTAAAAATTGAAAACGGAAAGGAAAAACAAATTGCTCGAGGTCATGGGCTAGGGATGGTGTGGAGGAGCATTCTTGAACTCCAAGCCATGTTTTTTCTAAGCAGCGGACTTGACAGTTGACAAGGGATGATGTTTGGGTAGTGGGATAGTTAGGTGGCATCTCCCTAGTGGCTGTTCTGAAACACAAAGCAAACTCGCAAAGCTTGCGGAGTACCCTGGGAGGGGAAATGGGGGTTTCCAGAGAAGAAGAGTGTAATTGGCAAGTGGGGAGAAAGGAGTTAGTGAACTGCCACCCCCACCAAAAATTAGACCTCGTCATGAGCAGCCAGCCACCCCCTGAGTGGGATGGGGCCGCCACGTCACCCAGAACACCAAACCACACGTGGGAAGGAGCCTTGGGCCACATCCCCAGCCTGAGCCATCATGCCTCTTGGGGACTCACCCCTGCTCTCACCTGAGTCATTTGCAGCTCATGTCCTAGAGCACCCTGTCACCAGGATCATTGGTGTGGGGCTTTCGAGGTATTCTAAGAGTTGAAGGGTAACGTGAGCACAGGTTTGTATCTCTTACCTGAAAGGCTTGTGATGAAGAGAGTTTGACATGCTCTGAAATACTCATGCTGATATCTCAAGGACAGGACCCAAGTCAACATAAGTTCACTTCTGTTTCCTGCATACTTGCTGCAAGCAGCTTGGGCATCATTTCTAGCCCACCTGCACTCTACAGTCTATACCATGAGGTCATGTGTGTTAGCGGCTATGTGGGACACCTACATGGTGCCCCAAGTGCTTCAGATTTCCAAGGTTAGGGACGCTCAGCCTACGAAAGTCCACACTCCCTTAGGTTCTCAGTGCCACCAGCCCTCAGCTCTTCCACTGACTGTTTTAGTGCCTAATGCCAGGAGAGGGTACAGAGGGGTCCAGGGGACATGCCTGGCCTCTCCAGGGGTAATGCAGATGCTACTGAGTGGTGAAAGGGCATGTGCACAAACTTCAGCTATAATGAACAGACTCACGCATATGCACAGGAAGCTGGAGTCCTCCAGCCATTCTAGCTATAGAAAGCAAACCAGAGAAGCAATGGGGTAGTGTCCAGGGGTTTCTGGTCCTGCTATCCTACCTAGATCAAGGTTCTGAATCTCTCTGAGTCTAATATCCCTATCTGGAAAATGATTGTTGTTAACAATAACCAGTACAGGGTAACCCTGCAAACCAGAAACTGTGTGAGCATGCATTCATGTATTTACATAGTTCAGAGAGTAAAACCATCCTGGACAATGTGATGTACACTCGTCTCTGCTTCCAGACTTATGGACCCCCGTGACAATATAAACTACACATTTCACGAAGTAAAAGGTAACAATATAATAAAACATACTGGTGTGTCAACTGTGGTGGCTCATACTTGCCATCCTACAATTTGGGAACTGGAGGCAGAAGGATCAAGAACTCATGGTCACCTTCAACTACATAGAGATGGGCCTGGGCTATCTGAGAGCCTGTCTCTCAAACTCAAAAGGCAAAATTTTTAAAAAATCATAGCCACATACTTAACATGGAGGGGCCCTGTCCAAGATAATTCATGAGTATTACTCAACTGAATGCTCATAAGGCCTCTACAATCTTCCCCCATTGGACAAGTAGAGTCTAAGAACAGAGAACAAAAGAACTTCTCTGTGTCACATAGGGACCCGCATAACCGATTTCAGACCCAGGTTGTCCACCTCCAGGGTCTAGATACACTTTTTAAATGTTGCCATTTTTATTTTAGGTGTATCAGTGTTTTGCCTGCATGTATGTCTGTTACCACATATGTCTGGTGCCTGGGGAGGCCAGAAAAGTATGTCAGATCCCCTAGAACTGGAGTTACAGCTGATTGTGAGTTGCCTTGTGGGTGCTAGGAATCAAACCCAGGTCCTCTGGAAGGGCAGTCATCGGTGCTGTTAACCTCTGAGCTATCTCACCAGTACCCAAGAACTAGTTCTTAACCAGTGGACATGGCACTGGAAAGTGAACCCAGAACACAGTTAGGAATGTGGTTGGTCTGTGATAGAGTGCTGGCTCCTTCTATACAACCCTGCGTTGCCTCCCAGCGTGAAAAAAGGAGATGCAGAAACAGCATGCCACGGGCTGAGTGAGAACCATAGAGGATTTCAGAAATGCAACAACATCCTAGAGTACCCAGCTGTTGGGGCGCGGGGAGGAACGGGATACCACTTGTTCATTATTCTGCACAGAATGCCAGTGCTGCAGGAAGCAGGCTGTCAGTAAATATTTGTGGGAGGGAAAGGAAATTGTTATTGTATTCATTAGCCAAAAGCTGGACTCGTTGTCTCCAACAATGAAAATAACGGGCTAAGATAAAGCCAAGGTTGAGGGTGGGAGGATTGTGTGGTGCGCACGGGCTTGCAATCCCAGCTCCTCGGAGGTGGAAGTGGGAGGATCAGAAGTTAAAGGTCCTAGAGGCCACCCTGGGCTACACGAGACAGTCTCAGGAGTGGGGGCCATCTTCTTCCTAATGTGGACCAATGGGGTGGTCCATACTTGACCTCAGGAGCCTGCTCCTGCACAGTCCCGGTTCTGGAGCAGGGAACCTTACCTTCTTCCGCATCATTCCTCAGTGAGGCCTCGAGCAGCGCCACACTGGCCTCAAAGGACACCTTTTTGCGACGGCCACCGCTGCTGCGCTTTCGCTCATGCTTGCGCTTCCGATGAAGCAGTTCCTGCTCATACTGTGCCCACTTCTTCAGCTGCTGTGCCCGGCGCTTCTGGGCTGCGCGCAGGCGCTCCAGCGTAGGTACCTTCTCCAGCAGCTGCAGCTCCGTGAGCAGGTCCACGTGGCTGGCCATGGCCCTGCACCTGCCCTTGCCCTGCCTGGGGCTAGCACGGTGCACCCGGGGCCAGGGGAGCACGGGGGCTCCCGAGGGGCTGGGGCCTCATGGTGGGGCCTGGAGAGGGGAGACAGACACACAGATGGACTGGTCAGCCCCGAGAATACACAATGCATGGTATAGAAAGTCACCCGACCACTACGCCTGTAGTTCAAAGCTCCCTTAAGGTTTTCTTCCCATTTCTGCCAAAAGCAAAAGTGCATATTCTTTTGTTTGTTTGTTTGGTTGGTTGGTTGGTAGGTTGGTTTGTTGGCTGGGTTTTGTTTTGTTTTTCAATACAGAATTCTCTGTGTAATAGTCCTGGCTGTCCTGGAACTCACTCTGTAGACCAGGCTGGCCCCGAACTCACTGAGATCCACCTGCCTCTGCCTCCCAAGTGCTGGGATTAAAGATGTGCACCACCACTGCCCAGCTAAAAGTGCAGATTCTTAAGAGTGGTGTGTGAGCCCCAACGAGGCCTGGCTCTGCTGTGAGCTGAGGCATTAGTAGTCATGTACATTTGAATTAATTAAAGTAAAACAGTGCAGTTTCACAGCCACATCTAAGTGCACACTTCCTAGTGGTTCCCATGTTGCATACCCAGATAAAGACCATTCCATTATTCCAGAAAGTTCTGCTGCATGATGGTGCTTGCCTGCCTCTCAAACCACAGTTAGCTAACAAGAGCCTGATCTTTGCAGCTCCCTTGTACAAAGGCATCCTACTTCAAGGAGTAAGTCATGTGACACTGGAGCCAGAGGGCATCTTGGGGCTCAGGACAGCATGGGGGTGACCAAACCCAGGAAACCCCGTATGTGCAGCATTCAAATAGAAGTCCTGGGGGTTGAGAACAGGATTCAGCTGACTCCTTCCTTGCTTAGCAGAAGCCAAGTCTGGGTTCAATGCACAGCATGACATAAATCGGGGATGGAGGTGAATGCCTGTGATCTGTGCACTGAGCAAGTACAGGCAGGAGGATTAAAGTTGGAGGTCATCCTTGGCTGCATGGTGAGTTTGAGGCTAGCCTGAGCTACATGAGAGAGACCTGATCTCAAAACAAACAAATACGGAAACAGGACCGGAAGGAAACAAGAGGGTATAAGTAAGGCTGCAGTGGGTCTCAAAGTATGCCAGGCCCGGGCATCCTGTGAAAGAGGCCCCTAGACCCTTTCACGGCTTCCACAAAAGTCAAAACTATTTGCATAAAAGGAGGAAGGTGCTGCTAACCTTTTCTGCTCTCACTCTGTCCCTGGTATCTGAAGGTCCCAATGCTACACAACAGATGACTTAAGACGCTCAGGGTAAAGCCCAACAAAGAGATGTACAAAACTTAACCGGCAACTCTCTTTCTCACTACTTTTGGTTGTTTGTCTTAGGGCCGTTTATTTTTCCATCAAAATGTCCAGCATGGTTATAACACATGATAGGTTTATGGTTCCTTTTTTCACACTTTACTTCTCTACTGTGGCACACAGCACCGTGGTGATGCACACGTTGAAGTCAAAGGGTAACCTGCAGTAGTTGGTTCTCTTTCCATCGAGTTCTGGGTTCTGGGAATCGAACGCAGGTCATCAGGCTTGGTGGCAAGCACATTTACCAACCTGAGGGCAGGCTGGGCTATATCGTGAGACTGTCTTATAAAGTCAAAAACATTAAAGATAAACAATTTACATAAACAAAAGATCTTTAGGATCCTTGATTTCAGGGGTTAAAGTACTCCCCAGACCCCAAAGTTTACTAATGCTGAACTATTAGACCTGGAAACTTTTGGCTGAAGTCTCCCCCACATACAAACCTTGGAGAACCTTCAAAGGAAAAGATCAAAGCTTCACATCATCACAGACCCTGGGTTCTCTGAGACTAAGGAAAGGGGCCTTTCAACAATCACTTGAACTTCTTGAAGACTACATTCCCGTCTGCAAAATCCACCTCCCAGAATTCCCAGGGTACTCGAGAATTAAGGAGCTGGGTAGGGTTGCACATCTACTAGCAAAGAAGAAGGGATGGGGGGAGACATGAAGACAGAGCACCCTCCACCCACCAGGCAAGGCTGTCTCAGGTTGATGGGAGACTTGGAAAGATAGGTGGGTCAACATCTGTGGGATGAAAAAAAAATAAAAATAGTTGCCTTCTTAGGGAAATCAAACAAGCCTGAACTTCAGGAAGACATTGATGATCTCCTGGGTCCTTTGCTTCAGTATCCTCCCTCCAGACTGCCTTTCATTCAAGGTCAACCATCAGGGATCTCCAGTCCACCCCCTTAGGAGCCAAGAGAACCAAGAGAATGTCCCATCTCCCTCAATCCCTGAAACTAGACGATAAGCCAGCAGCAGCTGGAAGGAAACAAATTGAGTGCAACAGGGTCAAGGCTCCAGGTGTCTGAGTGGATCTATTTTCAGTTGTCAATAAACCAAGGGCAAGATTGAAATATGATGCTTGGCTTGCATACGCTTTGCTTTGCTTTGGTTTAGGTTTTGGTTTGAAGTAACTTGGAGTTTCTGGGTCTGGTGGCAGCCTGTCATCCCAGCTACTTGGGAGGCGGAGGCAGGAGGATTTCAAGTTCTAGTACTATCCGAGCTAGAGTGAGTTCAAAGCCAGCCTAAGCCATTTATTGAGACCCTGTCTCTAACTTAAACAAACAAGCCAACAACAACACCAAATAAATGAAAGAAGGAAGAGAGAAAAACGAAAGGAAAGAAGGAAGGAAGGAAGGAAGGAAGGAAGGAAGGAAGGAAGGAAGGAAGGAAAAGAACCAGTACGGTAGCACACCCCTTTAATCCCAGCACTGGGGAGGCAGAGGCAGGTAGACCTCCGAGTTTGAGGCTAACTTGATCTACAGAGTGAGTTCCAGGACAGCCAGTGCTACACACAGAAACCCTGTCTCGAAAAACCAAAAGGGGGATAAAAAAAAAAGGCAACAAGAAACCCTGAGGCTCTAGCTCAGGAGTAGAATGCTTGTCTGACATGAATGAAACCTGGGTTCAATCCCTAAGACAGTAAAATATCAACTGCTCCTCAGCTACAAGCACTCCTCCCAGCAACCCCCCAACAGCCCCCCTAAGCACCCCCAAACCCACTCACATCCCAGCCTTTGGCACTAATCTGTTCCCCATCTCCAGGCTTTTGTTTAAACAACACTATAGAAACAGGAGGAGGAAGCAAGTAAGGTCTGAGGTTCATCTGAATTATCCTATGTGCCAATAGTTCATTCCTTTTTATTGCTATCTAGTATTCCACTGCGCATTAATTTGTTTTCCCATCCAGCTACTGGAAAAGATCTGGGTTATTTCCAGTTTGTGGCTATTAAAATCATGGATACGTTTTCATTTCTCATGGAAGAATGCCCTCAGAGCACAACTGTCAGGTGATCTGGTAACTGACCCAGTTAGTTTTAAAGAAATCACCACGCTCCTCTCCAGAGGGCTTACGCCTGTTTCCCTTCCCTCCAGCAAGGCATGAATGAGCCAGGCCCCCTGGCAGCTCTGTACCTGCTTTGTATTTCAGCCACTGAGATAGATACTATGACTGGGTTGTTTGTTTGTTGAGTGCACCAACACACAGTGTCATGGTGACTCAGGGCCTCACTGGAACTGGACAACCAGATGTTAATTTTGCCTCTCCTTCTTCAAGTGAACACCTGCCCCAGGACTAGCCTGATTCAGAGATGGATAGGAGACCAGCTCTCCTTTCCGGAAGGCTCCTCTGCCTATCAATAAAAACAAAACAAAACAAAAAACAAAAAAACAAAACAAAAAAAAAAAAAACCCACCCAATCCTCTCAACAACTTAAAGAAGCAGGCACTGTCATGCTTATCTCTCAGGTAAAGAAAACAGAAAGATGAAGTCACTTACTCAACATCACACTGCCAAAAAAAAAAAAAAAAAAAAAAAAAAGAGCTGTGGTCCAGGGATGCAGCTGTGTTGTTGAGCTGCTTGCTAACATACATGAAGCCTGGTTCAAGCACACACATGCACACACACACACACACACACACACACACACACACACACACACACTGGAGAGGACAGGGTTGCCCAGACTGAAGAGATCTAGAAAGTCTGAGGTCTGTGAGGTACACTTTTTGACTACTGGCCAGTCTTAATCAGCAAACCTCCTGTAGTCCATCACATTTATCAATCTGTTTGGATTTAGCCCACACCATCGTCAACATCTCAACCACATTTAAAACTTGGAATTTTTATATCCAATATCAGAAATTCAGCTTTTCTTAGAACATCTCAAGATCTGGCCACATAGACTCACATGGCAGCCACCAAAAGGTGCAGAGAAAAGCTGTACTCTCTAATGGAGCACATACCCAGTCCCCACCCCCATCCTACCCCATCTGACCTCATGTTAATTGTCACTGATCACTAGCTCCTACAGTCACTGAGTCTGGACCCCTGAGTTAGACAGAGGGACATGGCAGCATCCAAACATCAGAGATCTATGGAAGGCCATCTTGGAATATCCACAACAGAGCAGGGCACAGTTGCTTACACCCGCCAGCATAGACAGGCCTGCAAGCTGTCCAGCAAGCCCTCGACAGAGGTGTTTAGAGTGTCAGGGACTGACAGCAGACCGCATGCTTATGTCACTCCCCAGAGAAAAGTTACCACTGGCATCCAACTCACCTAAGTGTCCAGTGTCTTACAGTGCTGACTGCACACATGGCCACTGACCACACACTAGGGAGGAGGGCCCCAAACAATACCAAGTGACAGCAGGAATAAGTCATGCCAGGCAGCTGCATGCCAGAGCACTTTCCACTTCTCAAACACCTTCCTAGTTGGGTATGGTAGCTCATGCCTGTGATCCAGCACTCAAAAGGCGGACACAGGCAGGCTCCGGTGAATCTGAGACTAGCCTGGACTACACAGTGAGCGTCAAGATAGTCTACACTAATAGTATAAGACTGTGTCTCAAAAAGTAATAAATAAAAATCAAAAAAAAGAGACATTCCTCAGCCATCATCTCAATCAGGAGTTCTAAGCGTGGAAACAGAACTGACTCAAATGAAAGTCACTATTTTGTATGCTTAATGCGCACTAATAAAAACTACTGAAATCCAAACCCG